GTTCGTTAAATATTGATGATTATTTAAAAAGCCTACTTTCGTGAACTAGTCCTAGCTCAACCTGGATTTTAACTGGTAAAAATCGTTAAAATACACATATTTCCTTAGTGAATTGCCTGTTTTTGCTGTAAATGGTATTTTCCATCTAGGTGGTTACAGCCTTGCTTAATAAAACATAAACATTTAACGCATGTGCTTAAAGGGCTTGAACCCCGATAATTGCTCCTTGTTGCTATTTTTTCTTATAGTTTTTGTTGCTTATTATTTTTTTGTGAAATGCCTCCAGAGTCTGGAACCAAGGCCGTTAAAAATCTAGTCACTGTTGCATTTTTGTTGAGATGTCAGAGGAAGTCAATCGGCTTATTTTTGGACTGGCATTTTTGACACTTTGTGTTAAGACAAAGGTGAGATTACTGCAAGAAGAAGGAAGAATGGGAAACGTTGCAAGCCTGATTCAAACTTTCATTAGTCACTTAAGCTTCACAGCTTAAAAGCATGTACTTTCCGCTAGGCTGCAAATCAAATACACAAGCAATTCATTTGGCCTCAATGTTTGAGGTTTATCAGGGTGAAAGAGCTCTCCCTGGTGGTCACAGGGTCATCCCTGTGCAAGGAATGGCTTTAGTGCATCCAAGCCAAATGTCAGAGCTGACGCGGATCAGGGACATGTAAATGAGGTAGCTAATTGCCTCCATTGGATTTTAAAATCAAAGCTCGGTACACTGAGCTGCAAACGGAGCAGTGGAGAAAATTAAACTTCCCCAGCGAGTGACAATCAATGTAAAATGAACAGAATGCAAAGCAAGCACTGTTTCTTTCTCTTCCACTTTAGCAGATCATTATTCTATCTCAAATGCTGCGGGAATGTGTTGTTCTGGCCAGTGAGGAAATTCAACATTGATTTACTGCATCAATAAGCCGATCGCATTCATTAATTTCAACAGGTAATAAAGCTAATATTTGCTTTTCCACTCTGTACTGTAAAATATTGCCACGATTTTGCAACATTTAACAGGATTTACTGGGGGGAAAAAGTGCTTTTATGTAAGATAATAGTGTTTCGTTTGACGTCACTGTTGTAGTGATTAGTGTTCATTTTTGCTGTGAACTAATTTACTTTTTTTATTTTCTCCAAGCCAGTGTTACAGAACACAATCTATTATTTTAACCATTTTCGATACACTGTTCTGTTACATTTTGTTCCTTATATAAGAATGCTTTGCAAATTAATGCATGAACGCACCAAGGAGAAAACGTCCAGTTACAGATTTCAGTGCATTATATATTGTCTAAAATTGCTTATTCATTTCTATGGTAAGCCATGATTCCCATGCACTCACCAGCACTTCAGCTGCATGTGGACGTGTCTCAATGGAAATAACTTGTGTAAGAGCTCTCAGAGTGAGTGACATCGGATCAGGCCCTCTGAAGATGACCCTGATAAGGCTGAGTTGAGATGTAACTGTGATACAGCATTGCTGGAGAGACTCTGTCCCTCCGAAAGACCCTGTGAGATCACATGAGATCAGACGTTAATAGAGACCGCTGTGGAAAAACAGCAAGTTACTGATACCTGTGTTGAGCCATCAAAGCTGTGGGAAATATTCAGAGTATTTAGTTTAGCATCTCTGAGTGCAGTCTGAGCAAATATGAGAGAATTAATTTCCCTTAACACCTCCGAATCAATAAGTTATTGCTTTTAATGTTTATTCTCTGCAACCTTGCATCTTCTGCATGCAGCAATAATTTAGTAAAAGTAATAATACCCTGTTTCCAAAATATTGGGAAAGCGAGAACCCAATTCAATAGTGTGAGAACTAGGGGTGTAACGGTTCACAAAATTCACGGTTCGGTTCGATACGGTACATTTTCGATACAGCAAAAAGAAAGAAATGCCAGAGAAATTTCCTTGATTTAAGTTTTTTAATTATACTTTTATTAAAACTAACATCATAAAGTATGATATTTTTTTTACTTTGAGCAATGATGGAGCTATACTTGACTTTTCTTAGGAGCATATAAAACAAAACAGCTCCTTGGACAAAATGAAATGTAATATTGTAGTAGTTATAAACAAAGGTTTATTTTAGTTCAGATTAACATTTGAGGGCAGCAATCATAATATCAAAATTAAACCGACGTAATGTCACTTGAAAGCATTATAGCCGACTATTCCTGCCAAACTTCCATGGTTACAGTGAGTAGGGTTACTACAGTAAACCCATGGTGAATGTTGCTGATCTGTGGACACTGGATAGTTCATTTATGGCACAATGTCTCTTCCTGTTTGATCCGTTAATAACGGAGAAATGTGAATGTTTCTCACTAGATCTCGCAGCGATGTTATTACTTCAGTGGCGAATTCAAATGCTTTCTTTACTGGATTTCGCTGTGTAGTAACAGTGCTGATGATTAAGATCGGCTCGCGCTGCATTGGTCCAAACTGATAAACGGTCCGTCAACCACACAATAACGAGTAGCTCAGTTTCGTTCCGCTTACATTACATTTGCCATTTGGTGTTGGGCAATGTTGTGGTCACGCCAGCGTCTCTTACATTATGAGCGCGCTTGCCACGCGCGACGCGCCTACATTTAAAATAATGAAATGTTGGTCGGCAGGAAAAATGGTCCTACGAACAGTTCGGTTAAAAAATGCATACCGAAAACCGGTTCAATACGAATACGTGTATCGTTACACCCCTAGTGAGAATGTATGCGCATGTACACATCTGCAGCGCGCGCCCAGAAAGCCGCTTCTCAGATGGTGGGCAAATGCTGAATTGAGCTCTCTTCCACGTATCCTTCGGCTTGAATGGACATATTCACGCACAATTACATTAAAAACAATGCCGGACTCGGTGAGAATAGTAAACATGTTCTATATCTTCAGTGAACATAGTTGAGAAATAAAACATGTGTAATCCCGATATAGTATCTGCGGTCAGATGAGATGTTGTCAGTGTAATTATCGTAATTTGTTACGAAATAAAAAGTCTCTCACCTAAAAAAAAATAACTTCCCTGTCCTGTTAGACGTTATTCTGTATTTGTAGCGCTCACTCTTCAATTGCACGCTCGTGCTGCTTATCACTCCACTAAAGAAAGTTGTAAATTAGTAAGTCATGAAATAAAAGTACCAATATATCACATAACTGGTAGGCTACGTAACGTGTTAGCTGGGCCTGGGAAGGATTTGCATGCAAGTATGATGTTCATTCTATTCATGAGCAGTTTCCATGTTTAATTAACAGTTCATGTTAGTATTGTGCATTTATAGTGACCGTCATTTCCATAACCCCAAAATGCCATGTTTTTTTTTTCACTTTGTATTATTTTGTATATTAAATGACTGTGGTGGCTACCAACTAATTAACTAGCCTGCTAATTGGCACTAATTATGCAGCTGTCTATTTAATGCCATAAGTACTTGTAAGTGTTAACTCTAAGTATCCCCTGTGAAACAATTGAATTTATAATGGAGATTTTCAACATTACAAATAATCTCAGAACATGCAGACTTCATACTGCATTCATGTCACGGAAACCTCAGTTTTGCGATACATTGATTTTAACTAAGCTATAGGTATTCTTAGGCACAATACAAATTTGTGGTGACATCCAATCTGAATTTAAAATCTATGATTTAATTGCTCCCTAAACGTGATTTGCTAGGCATTCATTGTATCATGGCTAAAAACCTCCTTCACAATAACCTTCTCTTGCCCTCTCCATCGCAGTTTTATCTTAAGCTTTCCTTTTCTTTTTCCTTTCTCTCCCTCTGTCACTCCCACAGCCATCTCGTACTCCTCTGCTTTCTTCCCATCCTGTTTTCACTTGTTCTCTCTCCTCCTTTTCCTTTCTGTCTCTGTAATTTGCTCAGAGGGGAGCTGACAGTGAGTTCTGATACATCCTTTGGCAAGCTGAAATTCTAGGGGAAGAGAACAGTTAGCATGAAAGAAACAAGCCCTCGCAGATTTATGAAGACATTCGCCATTGTTCTTCCTTTACTGCAGGGTAATTTGCAAATAGCAATGTCACACTTCAAATGTTGGATACGGAAATAAGCCTCCTCTGCCAAGAGGCACTAGGACTCGAATCATGAAAAAACACTTGAGGACCCATCAGCAGGACATTTGGAGAGAAGAATGTAGGGAATCTAGTGTCTCTTAAAGGGTTACATCAAACACATCAATGCAGCACTCTCTGATTCCTTAATTCAGACAAGATGTGAGGTGAAAGCGAAGGGTCTTTGGTAGGGTTCGCCAACGCCAACGTTCATGGTCTGCTGCTTCACTTTAGCACTCTGACAAAGCTCCCACAATCCCACTCTGTCCGCCTCTACCTCAGAAAGACACTTCACGGAAATCTTGGTTTTAACTCTGACAGAACTTTCTTAGAAGGACCAATTGTAATGTGTATTGTTACTGTAAGCATTATTGTTTGTTAGGGATGCACTTTAAATGTTCATTTTTAATGTTATCGGCCTGATAACAAAAATTGGCTGATATATTAAAGCCGATATACAATGGATTATGACCTTCAGCTGGGACACTTCAGATGCGCACTGTTCTCCATGATGGTTTTGAATTGCTTGAAATATGATTGGAATCACTTCAATAAAGGAAAGTGCAACATGTGCATATAGGCTACTTAAAATTATAATGGGAACATTATAATTGTGCTTGGGTCATGGCTGTTAATGGTGAGACTTTTGTTTTTTAATCAGTTTTTTAAAAAATTATATAAAAATTTGGATTTAGATTTATCGGCCAATGTATCAGTTATCGGCTTTCAAATATAAAGAATTATCGGTCATCAGCCAAAATGTTCATATCGGTGCATCCCTATTGTAAATTATCGCATCTTTTATGTTTTTCTGAAAGACTAATTCGATGATTTTTCCACCTCCCGAAAAGATCCCTGTTAACTTGGTATGTGCCCAATCAACATTGAATTATTAAAAACAAATAAATGTGTTTGTTTTGTGTCTCTTGTTTTCAGCTCGTGAGGAGAATGTGGCGACGTTCCGGGGTTCGGAATACTTCTGCTATGACTTGTCTCAGAATCCAATCCAGAGTAGCAGTGATGAGATCACTCTGTCCTTCAAAACCTGGCAGCGCAACGGTCTCATCCTCCACACGGGCAAGTCGGCGGACTACGTGAACCTAGCGCTGAAGGACGGCGCCGTTTCTCTGGTCATCAACCTGGGCTCCGGGGCCTTCGAGGCGATCGTTGAGCCTGTCAACGGAAAGTTCAATGACAACGCCTGGCATGACATCAAAGTGACACGCAACCTGAGACAGGTAATCACGAGACCACAGCCACTCTCGAGACTACTCACAGATAGCTGGAGAACTAGTTCATGCTTTAGCTCACATGTATTTATGTAGCATTTGCTTTGAAATCAGATAATACTATTGGAACTACTCGATTAAGACATTGCATTGTAATTCGTTAACTTGTTTTCTAATAATGGATGGGTATGTTCTTATTTTCTTCCTCTGTTTTCAAATCTTGAAGTCTTCTATCTCTGTTACTTGACGTGGTTTACCCTTAAGGGCTTCTGAAATCTTAAGCTTGACTTCAAATCCTTTCAGTCTATGCTCCGAAGCTCTACAAGTGTCAGCAAACCTTCAAAGTTTTAGCTTAGATACTGTATCACCTTGAAACTCTGTAGGCAGTGGACGACAGTAATTTTCAATACATTTACATCTGGTACGCAGCTACAACAGCTTCGCAGTGAATCCTTAATGCATTTATTCACTCAAGAGATACGGGCCTCATTTATAAAGATGCACCTAATCGGTTTACAATAATTTCAATTTGAAATCAACTTTCAAAAAAGAGCTTTTAGTTGTTTCATCCAGCTGGTTAGGACACAATGTAATACATGCTCATTCTTTTTATGCTATTCCCTTCTGCAAAATATTTGTCGTAATATTAGACAAAAATCGTTCTCCTCCTTGATCTTAAAATGTTTGAGCAGAATCAGAATACACATTGCATGTTAACATATTGACTACTGAAAAAAATTGTAATTAAGGTATTAAATGTGCAAATAATAATCCCCAGAGGTCTCGTAAACCAAAAATATTTCGTCATTGAAGGAATTTTCTTAGCAGTGACGGAAAAATCTGAAAGTTGTCCATCATTTTGACAGATTACACTGAGGCTGATGTATTGTAACTTGTAATTCATGTTTATTTCATTCTGTAACGTGGAAGTAAAGAGGAAGGAATTGATTCACTCGCGCCACATTAAAGAGCGTCAAAACAGTATTAATTGTTTGAATTTTGTGATAAAATGGACACAATTTGAAAGTTGAGACTTTGTTTCATATCAAAAGTAACAAAGCACAAAGCTTATTGTGTTTTTTTGATCAAACATTCATGATGAAACCTGAAAAGTATGCTTGCCTATATGCTTGTCCTGTAAGTTTGTGAATAAAAATGAAAATGTGAACAAAAACAGAGCCTATTAAATGGCTTATCATTAAAATATAAAAGTTAAAATGACAGGTTATAACAGATTACGACGGCATTTTTACAATGCGGCACTCTAACGCGACCTCTGATAATACTAGAATTATTGTGTTAACATTTAATATTTTTATTAAATAAACATTGTCAGTTTTCCTTTTTAAAATAAATAGCCTTTCTAACTCAGATTTGTTTCTGTTTTGAAATCCATGGAATTGTCAATGGCATTGGATAGTACGTGGGTTTTATAAATGAAGCCCCTACCCAGATAGCATGTATGTAATCATTGAAACAATGTTGAGTCAGTGTTGATGCGTCAACGCTAATTGCATTGAATTAACGTTACAAAGTGATGTTGCTTTAGTATCACTCTTGCACCCTCAGTTAATGGTGAAGCAATGTTGAGATTTCAACCAAAAATCAATGGTAAATAGTATTGATTCAACATTACTAAGTGATATTTTATCAACATCACTTTTGCACCCTCAGTTAATGTTGAAACAATGGTGAACAAAAAAATCAATGCTAGCTAATGCTATTGAATCAACATTACACTATGATTGATTCTACATCATTGATGTGGATTGAATCAATTTTGATATTAACAAAAATAAACAATGGGAATAATCAACGTTACACTATGATGTTGAATCTGCATCACTGCTGTTGAATCAACACTGAAAATAACAAATATAATCAATGGTAATATGGTTTGATCAATGTTACAATGTGATGTTGATTCTAAATCACTGAAAATACAACTGAAAAGGAAAGTCAAACAATGTTGCCATCTGATGTACCAAGCTAATGTTGAAACAACATTAATATTTCAACTATACACTTCAATGGTGCGTCAGCAGATTCGTGATCATTTCAAAGTTTTTAGGAAAACCTTTTCAAATAAAAATGACACCTTTCCAGCAGTTGAGTCGATTTATTTTATTAAATCAATCAATGACAAAAATATAATAAAAGATCATTCTTTAAAAAAGAAAAGGGGAGAAATAGGACAAAAGCATTTCAACCTTTAAAAATTAAATTGCTTCAGAAGTCTGATGTCATCACTACAGGTGGTTCAGCGGTTCAGGTTTTTAAAAATGTGTCTTACATCATGCCTCTTTTCCTTTGGGTTCTCTGAAATCTGAAAAAGAAAGCATGATGTTACTTAAGAACAAGTCAATTCAGTTGTCATGCATAGTCACAATCAAGAATATTAATATACTAAACACAATATGATTCACTTTTTTTTTTTTAAAGTTGCTGAACACAAAATATTTTAACTACGATTATAGTATTGTTAAATTATGTTTATTTAGCTAAAATCTATTAATGTTTCAATATGAGAAGAAAGCACTATGGCAGGGGTGTCCGATTGTATCTCCAGTCCTAATTAAACACACCTGAGGCAGCTAATCAAGGTCATCAGGGTCAATGAGAACATCCAGCCAGGTGTGCTGGAGCTAAACTCTTCATGAAGAGGAACAAACACCTCTGGGCTTTAGCCATTAACTATATCTCAGTTCATTTTCTGTGAAACTACATAGCATTCAAGTAACACGTTTATATTGTCGAATAAAAGAGCTTAGGTTTTTTCAATGAAAATTTCTTCCAAAGAATAGTTCACCACAAAACCTTTTTCTTTTTAAATTCGATGAAAATTCTGTCATCGTTTACTCACCCTCAAGTTGTTCCAAACCTGTATGGTTTTCTTTCTTCTGTTAAACATTAAAGACAATATTTTAAAGAATGTTGGTAACCAGAAAGTTAACGGTGGCCATTAATTTCCATAGTAGGAAAAAAAATACCATGACAATGGCTACCATCAACTCTCTGGTTACGAACATTCTTCACTCTTATCTTCTTTTGTCTTCAGCAGAAGAAAGAAATTCATACAGGTTTGGAACAACTTGAGGGGGAATAAATGATGACAGGATTTTCATTTCGGGCTGAACTATCCCTTTGAAGCTGCAGATTCAGCTTATGTAGACCTTAATCTCTTTAAATATCACAAAATAGCCATCTGGTCACTTTCTCAATAAACACAAGATGTTTTATTGTGATTGTGTTTCAGTGGAAACAAGCTAAACTGAATGGAAATCAGTTACATTTCTCAAATTTAATACAGATTCATGAATATAAATGATTACCTGAATAAGCAGCGATAAGTCCCAGGTCAGGTGATTATGCTGTCGACAACAACTCAATGTATAATCAATGTCAGCATTATCAGGAGGGTGCTTCTCTTTTTTTTTTTTTTTTTTTTATTGTCCATCTTCATCCGCCTTCACTCCTATTAAAGTAGCAATGTGCTCTGCAACTGACGGATGCAAGACATGGGCTATGTTTGCAGAGTAACATTCTTGCTCATGTTCATGTCTCCTGCACTGTAAGAAATCTGTTAAATGACGTTAGAACTTTATTCAGGAAATTCCTAATCAACTTTACTAAAGCAAGATGCATTTTTTAAGAATGTAGAAAAATAGATGCTTTATTCAAACACTTTAATAACATTTTAATGTATCTAATTACCGTCAGTAACAACACAAAGCAAACGCAAATAAGCACGCAAAACAAAGGAACGAGAAATAAGGTAGATGCACCATTGAAACTGTGCTAGAGAAGTCATGTATATATGTCAGGTGCTTCAGCAAACAAGACTTCTGTATAGGATGCACCTGTGTTTTCTCTCTAATGAGGAAGCATCAATTAGACTACTAAGAAGTGCACATGCAAAACCAAATGGGCGTTTACCAATCAGTGGCCAATTTCAAACTACAATAAACAGGCTTGTTCGACTTGAACCGGCACGGCACAGGGGTGCGTTTCCCGTACAACGACGTAACTCGCTGCTTCATTACCAGAGTACGATGCATCGTTGAAGAACTCAACTAGCTAGTCACGACTGTTTCCCGAAACCATATTGTCGCAAATTGGTAGTTCAACCACGTTGGTTAATGATGTCACACAGGGGGTGGAGTAATAACTACTTTTAATGAATCTGTTTGAGATCGAATTAATGCTAGATGTTTGCTATAAATTACAGACATGTCAATCAAAGGACTATCTCATATTTCTCTTAGTTATTTGCTTTATTTCCATATTCAATCAATTGGCTCGTTCTTACGTAGTAGAGCATGTTCGCACATGCACACTCTTAAAAAAACGGTGCTTAAAACCTATTGACAAACTGAAAGGCGTAAAGGACATGTGTATGTCTTCTAAATAAAATAAACTGATTGTCCTGAATGTCAGTTTGCTTATTTTGCTCAAGATAAGGATTTATTAAGTCCACATGTTATAAAAACAAGAAACTCTGCTTCTAAGCACAGGTCGAGAGCTGTCGTTCCAAACACACAACTTTGCGATGGTGTTCGCGAATATTCGTCGGAACGATGGTTTTGGGAAACACTGACTTGTTGAACTATGTTGATAACGATGGAACTTGCGACCATTGTTGGCTAACGATGCTTTTGGGAAACGCACCCCAGATCGATCGGTTTTTGACATCAAAGTACCGCGAGAGCGATAAAAAAGCGTACGAACCGTTAGCTCTCTAATCACTCTCCCGGTGCTTTGATGTCATAATCCGATCGGTCTGTGCAGCGCCGGTTCAAGTCGAACAAGCCTAATGGTTTCTAAAATCATGCCCCCAGTGGATTAGAGCAAATCTGGTAAAGCGGTTGAAAAAGCCCATTGTGGTTTGAAAACCTCCCACTGATTGAGAAACACCCACTAGTGTTCTGCAGATATACATGCCTGAATGATCATCAACTACAAATCACTGTTAGGTCAATGTCACTGTGTGTGCCAGTGCCACCCATGTGTGCTGTTTGGCTTTCATCTAAATTTCAATGCTAATCCTTAAACATTTAGATGTCAATCTCAAACAAAATTATGGTTTGGATCAAACCTCAACATTGTATCAATGTCACCATGCTATCTGGGTAGTGTTTCTCTTGTACATGAAGCCTTCGATTAATCAGCATCAGTAAGAGTGTTTGTATCTGCTGGCCAGCCGTATGTTCACGGATTCAGTGCGAGTCTTCAGTGAGACCATGCTTGATTTGTTTGGCTGACCTTAAACTTCACTGGCAGGTGAGGCAGATTTATATGGAGTGAAAATATGAGGGCTTGACAAGTAAGTGCTTTTTTTCATGTCACTACTTTGTTCAGACTGGTAAAAAATATAGTACATCCCTCATGTGATGTTTTCAGACGAGTGTACGAGCTGATAGACTGAAGGAGCTCTCTCTCTCTCTCTCTCTCTCTCTCTCTCTCTCTCTCTCTCTCTCTCTCTCTCTCTCTCTCTCTCTCTCTCTCTCTCCTTCATCGCTGTTTTAAAGAATGGTGGGGACAGTTGGGAGTTGGGGGGGGGGGGGGGGGGGTGCACAGACATTCTGGTTTAATGTCTAAAAATTGTGAAGCCTTAGGTCATGAATGATATTTAGATTATAGACTAATAATTTAATAATGCCTGTTACGCTTTAAAAAAGTTTCTGTCAGGGATAGACTAAACCTTTAGAAAATAGAGCTTGCTGGGGCCAGTGAATAAATTTACTTTATAATAGGTTTTAATAGGTCTATATTTTAAAGACCTTATTAAGAACCCAATCAATTTTACAAATTAATTTAAATATGTAAATATAAAAATTCTATACTTATTATTCATAAAAAAAACCTGAATTCACTATAACTCATCTGTGAAATTCAAGAAATGTGCGCCATCATACTACCACGAATTAAATTGGGCAGTTTATTAATCAGTCCATGTTAGGGGTGTAACAATATATCGTGTCACAATGTATCGCAATACAAAAATGCAACAATATGTATCGTGGATAGGGACAATATGTATTGTGTATAGTTAACCCAAAATGAAAATTTCTGTTTTAGTGTCAGTACTACATTAAACTACTATATATAATTTTGAATATAATGTATGAAATGGGGGAATATTTGTGGGTCCTGATAATGCCAAATGTCTTATGTTACCAGTAAAAAGTGGCCTACATTATTTCTATTCATTTCCAGACCCACAATGTAATATCAAATGTACCATTTTAATCAACAGTAAAAAAAAATTGTTAACCTTTTATTATATGTCTTGGAGAATCGCAATAATATCATATCGTGAGTTCAGTATCGTGATATGTATCGAATTGTGACATGAGGGTATCGTTACACCCCTAGTACATGTTGTGTTAAAGTATCTGTTTTCACTGTTAAGAAAAACTGTTTTCATTTTTTTTTTTGTAAATTAATTTAGTAAATGAATTAAAATTGGAAAAAGGTCATGTAACTACCTATTTCACAAAGCAAAGTAGACAAATAGAACATGAAAACATCTCAATACCACACAGAGTTGCTGTGTTTTGAAGTTTGAGGGAGCAATCGTTTTTACAGATCACTTTGAGGACTCAAATTAAGCTACAGAATATTTATTTTGATAAACTTTATCTCTATTTCAGCTGCTGAAACTAGAAACTACAGTGAACCACAAAAAAATGGATATTTTCTAAATGTACTAGCCGCTGATGAGGTTTTTAAGGAGTGTTTACATCAGTCAAATTCTGGAGTTGCATTTTCAAAAGTTAAGCTATTTTTAACATACCAACTTGAAAAGGTAACAATCATGATGTAATGCTCAACAACCCTATGGTGCAATGGCGTGCAAGACTAAAGGTGTAGAGAGTCTTTTATCATGCTAAATGCATAACAGCTAAAGGAGCAAACCACCAGCATGCTTAAAGCTCTGCCACTGAAATCTAGTCAACAATCTACCTAAATAATTGTCTAGTCGGGACCCATGTCGATTGGTCTATTGGTCACATGTCCCTACTATAAATAACACAAATAACAGCTATTATATTCCTCCTCTTTTCTATCTTTCCCTTCCTGTTTCTCACTTGTTGGGAAGAGAGTTTTTGAGACTAACAATATTCATTCATGGGATCATTTTTTATTACTAACTTGTTTCTAACCAAACTAATGTACTAACACCCTGAATCTTCATCATTAATTTCTTTCTCTTTTAATTTCGTCCATTTATTAACAACCGTTTTGTTCACTATTGTTTTGATTTCCTTTCTTCCCCCTTCTTCCTGAAAGCACTCAGGCATTGGACACGCTATGGTAAACAAACTACATTGTCTGGTAGATATCATTCTTATTGTCCTTTTTTTGGTTTGCCGTGTGTCCCTCTCCCTTTCTTTCTTTTTTCTTTGAGTTTCATTCTAGACACTCTTTTCAAAAAATGAGGAAATGGGTTTGTATTACCAGGACTTATCACATTTCCCCCCTTTACCCCCTCTCAAACTTCCCTCCCTTCTTTTACAGTTTTGTTGTTTTTGTTTGTTTTATTTATCAGGCTGGTTTTTACGTCCTCACGTTAACGTTACGTAGAGATTCACATCCTCACTGGGACTCTCACAGGAACTAGTAAAGTGTTTTTTTTCTCACCAAGCCTCCACATTTTTTGCGAGGACGGTCGGCAATAACTGACAGAGGATTTCCAAGAATGTCCAGAAGGGAAATTTCCACCCTGCAGAGCCTCCCAAAAATAAACGAACACTCAAGAGAAACCTAAGAACTCTGGGAACTCTGGCAGTTGATACGTCCAACACCAGTCATGGCATGTCCTCATCGCCACCATCTCATCCAGCCTCATGTATCACCACAACTAACACTACATTCAGTTTATCACTCCACTTCCACCCAAGTCCCCTGCGTGTGTATTCTGCACGTTGTTTTCTGTGCCGTGTGTCTTGTTGCCTGGCTTTCCTGCTGCTTTTTTATTTGAAGTTCTGCATGGGTGCTTGCTAATTGGCTGTTGTAGCTTAGCTCCTCCCCCTTTCCACTGAACCAATGAATCATTTCTCATGTTTATTCAGAATGACCTCTTGAAAAAGGATAAAACATTTGATTTTCCCAGTGGTTAATGTCTTCCTTTAATGCATGCATTTTCAAGTTTCAGTATGTGTCTGAATGTGTGTTTATGTGTATGATTGAACTTGTAATATAAAGTAGTTTACCCCCTCCTAAAAGTAAAACAAGTACAAATAATTTGTCCTTGGTTTTAACATTTACTAACCCTAATTAGTAATATTCCAAACCAGATAAGAATTCATTTTTCTTAACCCATCAAAAGATGAAGAAAATATTCATCAGCAATATTTTCTTTACCTGTCCTGTGAACCTATACTAAACTATCACCAATAAAGCTTAACCAGACCAATGGACCAGAGTGTTAGCAGTAAGCAGCCCGTAATGAGGGCAAATCCGAAAAAGAAAGGTTATCGCTCAGGTTAAAAGCACATCTTCAAATGAGTGTCTAATTTGTTTGTCTTTCTATATTGTCATCGTTTCACAGGTTACTATATCAGTGGATGGTATACTGACCACCACAGGATACACGCAGGAGGATTACACTATGCTGGGCTCAGATGATTTCTTCTATGTGGGGGGAAGCCCAAGCACCGCCGACCTGCCTGGATCTCCCGTCAGCAATAATTTCATGGGTTGCCTGAAAGAGGTGGGTCCTATAAGATGTGCATAATTGTGAGTGCACGCAGGAACACACACATGCACACTGTATAATTGGCATCACGAAAAAGCCTTTGGGAGGTTATTGCCTTTAATTTGATTCAGAGACTCTGTTTTTGTACACACAAGTAATGCTTAAAATTGTTTGCATTAGACGAGAAAATATCAAAAACAGTTCTGCTTTAGCAGAACTGACCTCACTTTTAAGCAACTGGTCTCAATGTGGTTTTTGTGAATGTCAGTTTTTGTCAAGTTCAAAAAGGTATCCTAACAGTCTAACCACAGGTAGTTCAACATATTAAAGTGGTCATATAATGCTATTGTAAAAGTTAATTGTTTTTGTTATCGGGTGTAATAGATTAGGATAGAATAGAATATTATAGTGCTCTGATTGGCCAGCTGACCGAGTGCTCTGACTGCTCAAACTCTGCAGACTGGCTCTGACTTTCGGCATATAGCGCCAAGTTGTCCAAGACTGCATATGGGTAAAGGTCTGGGTAAAAATCTGGGTAAAGATCGTGTAATGTATTGCAGCCTTAATAAGTCAACAGACTCACAAACTTGACATAAAAATGGATTTCTTTCGACTGCAGGCAGGTTATTGGCTTATTTTCAGTGAAAGAAAAAAAGAAAGAAAAAAGAAAACAATCCATTGATTTCTAAAGCCACTTTTGTAAAGTCTATTCAATTCTTTCCTCTGCCACAATAATGCAATGTTTTTGAATTGTCTTCATTTGGGGGCTTTTCAGAAAACATTAATTATGATTCATTTGGTAATTTTGAGGCTTGCGCAGCCTCTTGAGGAGAAATCGAAGCAAATGAGTGCAGCACACACAAAGAAACTCCATTAACATTCTGCAGAAAAATGTTTTTGGGGATTTTTTTTATATTTAAGACATATGATACGGTTAAGCAACATCACACGGCCAAGAGTGCTGTATTCCTGAAAACCATTACGACTGTAAATGTGACACTGATTTCATACGACAGTTCAATAAAGAAGTAGTTAATATTAAGACACTTACATTTTAGATGTAATATTGACTGTTTTTGTTATATTGCAGCAGCGAAAATAGTTCCAAAACAATGATCACAGCAGAGCCATCGTGCATCTCATTTCATTATTTAATGATTCAATGTTTTCAACAAAACGGTTGAGTCAAAGATTCAGTGACCCATTTCTTAAACAACTGCCTCATTCTTGAATGAATCAGCCGTTTGATTGAATCATTTGAATGAATGACTCAATGACTCACTCATTGAGATGTTTACTTGCCGCCACCAACTGACGGTTTAGTTTCATGTTTAAAAGTATAAACATGAGTCTCCACAGTACATAAAATATTCATTTTATTTTATTTTATTTTTCGTGTTCGCATTTATGAGGAAAAACGAATCGGTTACCTAACGTAACCTCGGTTCTCTCTAGAAGAGGGAACGAGTATTGCGTAAGCTAGCTTACGCTGCGGGAAAGATTCATCTTTGCTGAGATATTGAAGCCAAAAAATTATTTCATAATTTTGTATCCATACACAACGCAGTTCCTCTGCGGCAGACCTAGAGCGGGCTAGCTAGCAGCTCATTGGTTCGCTCAGAGAGAACTGCTTAACCTGTTAACCTGCAACCCCATTTTTGAAAAATCCCCAGATATGGCATTCCCAAACCGAAACAGATACAGTTCATGAACCCTTTGTACTAAAAGCACAAGTAAGATCTCATTTGAAAGCTGACACCTGGAAGTTTATTGTAAATGTAGAATTAATTATTGTCATAATGAAAAAAAATAGTTATAAATAGCTTCAAAGTTTTGTAAAATTATTATACATTTATTTTTATGAAACATCTTCATGAAAATAAAATTGAAGTTGGCATTGTAGCAATCTAGAAATGCACTGCAGCTAAAGCCACATGTCTGGCCATGTTATATTTAAAATCTGAAGATGATAAGTCTAAAACTCTGTATTTAGTTCAATGTTTTTCAAGATCATGTCATATGACTTTATTTTGATTAGACTGGTGTTTATTGTCATCTTATAAGCATCTATTCAGTCTATTGCCTCTATTGTTTTGTGATGCAAAAACGAGCCCCATTCAGTGTCAGTCTCCCCTGCACATATTCACACCTCTCCAGCCTGTTTATTGCTCTAAATATGCTTTTCTTTTGTCTGCATTATAATCACTAACGACTAGCAATTCACACTGTTTCAATCCCTCATTTCTTTTATAAAAGTTCTCACTTCACAGTGAAACTGTATCAAATGCCCTTTTTGAAAAACGAAACATTTTAGTAAGCATTCTTATTTAGAAAAAAAATCATAAAAATTACACCGAAGTTAGGTAGCAGGTGCTCAGTACTAGCTAGCATGTTAGCTTAGCACACCATCAATACACGACAATTTATGAGAATAAAACTATGTTTGTGCTCCAAACTTACTTTACAGCGCAAGTCGAGTGTTTTTAATAACTTTCTGTAATCTGATTTGGCTTCAGATAAAAAAATCAGATAGAAAATATATTATTTTATTGTATTCTGCACAATTTGAAAGTCTATCTCGATTAGCATTACATTATACATATAATCTATTATTATGAAAATACCTGACATGACTCGAAGAACACAGGTAAATCAAATATCATTGCAATCATGTTTATTGTCTTCAAAACATCTTTATCTGCACTTTACAGCGATCTCTGATAGCTTTGTTGTGTCAGGACTTCCTGAATGTCACATGATTATGGCTCTTCTTCATGTGATCCATATATGGACTTTACTGTCCAACAGCGCCCCAGACTTCAGTATGAATTGATAATATACAGTAGATCAGAGTATCCAGCGCTCAAAATGATTACATCGACGCATTTGGGTATAAATTCAATAAATATTATTCTTGTCTATAGAAATCTGATGTAAACTTATGAGAATCTATCAATATTTCTCCAAATCTGCACATGTTTGAGCTAAAAGCCCTGAGGGACGTTGTTTTGTCAAGCGCTGTCATGACGATCGCACGGGAGTTTTTTTCTGAATGAGAGCAGCTGACGCTCATAATTCATATTAAAGGTAACGACTCGTTTTTTAATTTCATAACTCCTGACACAAATTAAGACATAACTGTCACTATAAGTTTCTCAGAATACAATAGTGGTCAAATACTGAAACTTGAGTCTTATATCGTTTTAATGATGTATAGTTTGTCAAGTTAATAACATTAAATATGTAGTAACTTTGAACTATTTAAAAAAAAAACGCTTCAGAGCGCCCACGCACTGGTGACGGTTAACAGGTTAAGCCTATGGGAGAGCGGGGCTGAACCCGCTTCCAATGAGAGGCGCCCGCGCGCTCATTGCGTCATGACCCGCCAGAATGGGCGTGGCCATGGTGTATATAAGGCGCTCTCCCAGGCTTATATGTTGATTTATTTCAGCGTGAAGCGAAACGCTAGTAGCGCAAGCACGGCCGGGAACGCAATACTCGTTCCCTCTTCTAGAGAGAACCGAGGTTACGTTAGGTAACCGATTCGTTCTCTTACGAGAGGTTCTCTCGTATTGCGTAAGCTAGCTTACGCTGCGGGAACACCTGGCCAACGCCGTGCGCGCTACGAATCCACTCATGAAAAACCCAGGGATATACCGGGGGAATTTCTTAACGTGGAGTGAATGTACAAAGAGGCCGCAGAGCGGGCTCATGAAGTGTACACATAAGCATGTATGGGGCCAGCAGAGCGGGCACATGAAGTGTATAAGCATTACAGGAGAGCACAAGGGGCGAACCGGTTGTGAGGGACCTCCAGAAATGCAGCTTCTTAGAGAGCTGTTCGTCAGACAGCTAGTAATTTTGCCTGCAAGGCGGGAACTTCCAAGTTATAAAACCTGACAAAAGTGGACGGGGAGGCCCATCCCGCGGCCACACAAATGTCATGAATGGAAATTCCACAGGACCATGCCCACGATGAGGCCATGCCTCTAGTGGAGTGCGCCCTGATGCCCAGAGGGCAGGGCAGGCATTTAGATGCGTAAGCAGAGGCGATAGCGTCCACTATCCATCTAGACAGTGTCTGTTTTGAGGCGGCCAGACCCTTGGTGCGCCCCCCAAACGACACGAAAAGCTGCTCAGCGCGTCTGAACGCGGCAGCGCGCGTAGTGTACAATCTCAGAGCCCGCACCGGACAAAGGAGATTGGCATCGCGCTCACTATCGGATGAAGGCAGAGCCGATAGGGAGATAATCTGAGCCCTGAACGGGGTACCAATCGCCTTCGGGACATAGCCATGCCTAGGTTTGAGAATGACAATCGAATCATTCGGTCCAAACTCAAGACACGCGGCGCTGGATGAGAGCGCGTGAAGATCCCCAACGCGTTTAACTGAGGACAGAGCCGTCAGGAAAACGGTTTTGAGCGAGAGGTATTTCAGATCCACAGACTCGAGCGGTTCGAACGGGGGTGCTTTCATAGCTTCAAGGACTATAGAAAGATCCCAAACCGGAACCGACGGGGGCCGCGGAGGGTTCATCCTCTTAGCTCCCCTGAGGAAGCGGATGACTAACTCGTCTTTGCCCAATGACTGAGCGCGTCGGGGTTCCGCGAACGCCGCGACGGCTGCCACATAAACCTTGAGAGTGGAGGGGGACCTGCCCTTGTCCAGCATCTCTTGAAGGAAAACAAGCAAAGACGGCACCTCGCACGACCGTGGGTCCAGCTGTTTGTCGGTGCACCATTTTGAGAACACAGACCATTTAGACGCATAGAGCCTTCTCGTGGAAGGTGCTCTAGCCTGTATGACAGTGTTTCTTACTCCCTCTGGCAAATCAACGAATAGTCGTTGATCACCCATGCATGCAGCGCCCAGCGCTGTGGATGGGGGTGCCAGATCGTGCCGCGAGCTTGAGAGAGGAGATCTGCTCTGACTGGGATGGGCCACGGGGCTGTCTGTGACAGCTGCGTGAGCTCCGGAACCCAATTCTGACTCTCCCAACGCGGGGCTATGAGGA